CTCTAGAGGAGAATCTGTTTCTTTGCCTTATCCATCCCTTAAATGCCTCATTTCCTTGGCTCCTGGTCTCTTCTTCCATTTTTAAGGCCAGCAGTAGCACCTTTAAATTTCTCTCCTTTGTCTCTGACCCTTTCTCGCTTTCTCTCTTAAATGAAAGTTTATGATTACATTGAGCCCACTTAAATAATCCAGGATAATCTCCCCTTCTCAATTCCTTTAATTTAGTCAATCTGCAATGCCCCTTTTGCCATGTAAGGTTATATATTCAGAGGTCTCAGGAATTAGTGTGCAACAATCTTGAGGTAGTGGGGGCATCAGTCAGTCTACCACAGGTACTTTTGGAGGATACTAAAAATCCAATTTATTATTCTGAAAACTATTAAAGAAAGGAGAAGAATCTAGCACTTATCCTGTCCTTTCTATATGAACTGTATCTCAGTATAATCAAATAATAATTGAAGAGTAGAAGTTTTTTTTCATAGATATATCTAGCTCATAAATGAAAAAAGAATGATGACAAATAATATCATCATTTTTTAAAGCCCTTAATGAAATAATAGATCTAGGTAATGATGGCCAGTGGTTGCTAACATCACAAAAAAGAGAGAAAATCAGACATTATTTGCCTACTAATATAATTATATAAAACCACCTATAAATTCTTCTTGCTAAGCATTTGAACTGAAATCTAGCCAGTCTTCTGACATTTAACTACCCATTAACTAGAAACATGGAAGTTAGAGAAATGTTAAGAATACCACAGGAATGCAATTGGGAAAGCAGCTGTGGAAAATTCTATAGGACAGATGCAGATACTTCAACAAACAAATTACAAGGACATAAAAAATTCAAATAGTGAGCCTATAAATTTAAAATGACTTAAGAATCTGATTGCAATGTAGGTATTTTATTTGGATGCTATTCAAACAAACATACAAATGAACAGATACATAAATAAAACACAAATACATACCAGTTATAAGGTAATCAGGGGCTTTTGACATTGGCTGCACAATTGATGATATTGAAGAGTTACTTTAAATTCATTATATTTTAGAGTCACATATTAAAATATTTAACCATTATGGTCATAGCTCATATATGAGTGTTACTATTCAATTCCTTCTATTTTGATTGACATGCTCCACAACAACAAAAAAAATTTTTAATATTTATTTATTTTTAAAGGAGAGAGAGACAGAGTATGAGCGGGGGAGGGGCAGAGAGAGAAAGAGGGAGACATAGAATCTGAAGCAGGCTCCAGGCTCTAAGCTGCCAGCACAAAGCCTGATGCGGGGCTCAAACTCACAATCTGTGAGATCATGACCTGAGCTGAAGATGGACACTTAACCAACTGAGCCACCCAGGTGTCCCACACAACAACAAAAAAAATTTAAAGAATTACTTGGTAAAGAGCCACCATGATCACAGCACTCTGACTGTGATTACATTAAGTTTATAGGTTAATTTGGAATGAATGATATCTTCATAAAACTCAGTCTCCTCAACTGGGAACATGTTTTATTTTCCATTTACTCAGAATGAAAAAAAAAAACTATCTTTACTAAAACTACTTTTTTTTGTATTATTCTTGAACGTTTTAGTTAGGTTCATTTCTAAAGATGTTATGGTTTTCATTTTTATCAATGTGATCCTTTTCTATTGGGCTATTACTAATATAATAAAATATTTTCTTAATGATGGTTCTATATCATACCATCTGCAAACAATGAAAGATTTGTGTCTTGTTGTCAAGACTTTTCTTTTTCTTCTATTTCTGACTTCTTTTTGTTTTATTACATTGGCTAGGAACTAAAAAGCAATGTTGGCAATAATAACCAGGCTTGTCTTGTTCCTGATGGGTATTTTAATGTTTTCATTAAGATATTTATAGATAGAGAGTTTCTTGTGTTGGTATATTCTGAGTTAAGAGTGTAATTCTATATTAGTGAGTAATTGAAGTCTTCACTTTAACATGAAAAATGGATGTCTAATTTTATCAAATATTTTACCGTATCTATTGAGATGATCACTTTAGTTTTTCTTCCCCTAATTTGATAATGTACAGAATTACATTAGTAGATTATCTCAGTGTTAAATAATCCTTCAATATGTGGAATAAATCCACCATTGCTAATATCTGATAGTGTTATTTGTGTGCAATTATTAAATGTTTCTTGTGGTTCTCAGGTAATAAAAGCAAAGAACCTAGCAGTTTCCAGATTTCCTTCTGGGTGGGGCCTTAGGCCAAGGGAGGATATATATCATATCCCCTAAGGAGAGTCTGAAACCCTTACAATTCTTATGTCAGAGGATTTGTGAGCTAATTGCATTGCCAGAACAAGACTTGGAGAGCTGGCTTGAGTGGCTAAAAGGGAGTCCTCATCTCTTTAAATAAAATGAGTGAAACTCATGCACTTCATCCTCCCAGGTAGTTAAAGTGACAGGCATTTGTTGCCTCCATTCTGTTGTTATCCTAGTTTATTCTTGTTGCTTACCGCCTTTTCAACGTAGATGATTGGTGAACCATTGAATGAACTACAAAACATGTCACTTATAGAACTCCATCTATTAGAAGTATTTCTAAATCATGCCATATCGCAGGTTGAGAATAATAATTCACTAAAAATGTGCCTCCATGATCTAAGCATAATGAGAAATTTTTTGAAAAAGGTGAGTAGAGATAGCCAGAAATAATTGCTAAATTCAAAATCCAAAACCCAATTCCTTTAAAGTAAAACCAAAGAAAAGTATGAGTATGGGCTATTTATGTTCTATTAATAAGTAAAATTAATATTTAGCAATTATTTGTAGAGGGGATTTATATGTTTTGTTATAATCACCTATCCACAATTAAGAGTGAAACTAAATTTTGTTCTTTAATTTGAACACTAGCCTGAAAGTTAAACTTGGAACATTTATGTCGTTGTTGTGTGGACCTTCTTTGGTCTCAGAGCACTGAGGTCAGCATGAATAATCACATTAGCAGGGCAGGCCTCTGCCTCCTCTATGAAAGGTTGTTAATTAAAAAACAGATTTTAGCACCAAGGGTTATCAGACACTTCTACAATGCCATTAAATATTGTAGTATAATACCTGCTTTGGTTAATCCTTTAAAATTCCATGAGTGGCCTAATTCTTGAAGACCCAAAATCCTTTCATTAAAGATTTTTTTATACCTGTGGTCAGGTATTGTATTTTTGGAGAAAATACAAATGGCAAAGGAAAATAAAGGTGCCAATCCCAATCTACTTTCTCCATTTTATCTTTCCATAAGCATAAATGTCAACTAAATATACCCTTACAACAAAGAAGAAAGGCACAATTGTGCAACTAACAAAGGGGGTTCAACTCTCAGTTTGTTCAAGTTCTTTATGAAATTTTTTCTTGATGATTCTAAATATCTGCTTATGCTACTGGCAAAACCATTATCATTTTCCCAAAGTTTTGCTGAATAGATGATATAGGGTTGTATTCTAAACTGATCATTATTACAACTGTTGCACTATGGGATGTAATTCTCCCATGGAAATGTTTTCAGTGAAACTTTTTCAAGTGACACCTAATTTAAGCTAGTATGAGGAGACCACAAAGAAGAAAATTTAGAGAAGTCAAAACCAGAAAGGGCTCCTTGTTTTCTTTGTTTTAAGTTAATTGCTTAAAAGGCCAACATTAGAACAAGTACCCAAATGGAAGATGCATAACAGTGACTAAGGTGTTTAGGAGGTAGGCCCTTTATTAAATCCAGTATAACAACACCCTGGCAGATACAATAGTTGGCACATTCCACCAGGTGCTTAGTATCAAGAAATTAAAAAAATAAATAAATATCCCTTATTCACTGTTTATTTGATCTAAATTTTTTTAATGTTTGTTATTTTTTGAGAGAGAGAGGGAAACAGAGTGTGAGTGGGGGAGGGGCAGAGAGAGACGGAATTCAAAGCAGGCTCCAGGATCCAAGTTGTCAGCACAGAGCCCAACACGGGGGCTTGAACCCACGGACCATGAGATCATGATCTGAGCCGAAGTCCAATGTCCAACTTACTGAGCCACCCAGGCGCCCCTATTTACTGTTTATTTGTGACCATGGTCACTCCTATGTCTGATACACCTAGGCAACATAGCCTCCTCAGGTAGTAGAGAACTTAAGGAGGACTTTTTATGGCATCCTTAGCCTCCTTAAGATGTTTTCTTACCTCGAATTAATTTGTACCAATTATGAATTGTAATTATATGTAAAGTTGTCCCAAAGTATCTTCAGTTAGACCATTTATTGTAGAAATGCTAGTGTATTCAATGTCACTTAGTCAGTTATGTGGTATTAATTGAGGTGCCACTATGGTGCATTATACACTATGCTTTGGTAGAAAGACAGCATCTCATCTTTGCCTTCAAGAAAATTACATTTGAATTATGCTGACTATATCAACCCACAAAAAATAATTAGAAAACCATATACCTCAGTGCCTATTTATGCGCTTATTGGTGGAGTAAGAGTAGCCAATATTCAGCAGAAAGAAATCCACTGGAATAAAATAATAGAACGTTATTAAAGAGTTTGTCTAAACCCTTCCTTTGAGGTGTGATGCAATGAAGGAAGGTTTGCTTCATTGAGGAAGTGGGATTTGAATTAGACCTTAAAATGATTAGATTGAAAAAAAAAAGTGAAATTAGAAGAGATTTAACTGAACTAATTTATCTCACTTTTCCCAATTTTCTTTGTATGAAGACATACATAACCCATTCAGTTTTTCTTTGTCAAATGATCCATAAATACATAAAGTATATGTGATTAACAATGCTTTTAATGGCAAAAGACAGCTTATTTTCTTAATCCAAAGCTCACTTTACATAATCATTCTTTTTGCAAACTACTAGTTGGTTATATTAGCACTCAAGTAATTGACAAGAAGTTGCTTTAAGCAGTTAAAGATCCAGATGCCAATCAGCATGCATTAAGTGATTCAGCTTAATTGGTTCCATCTAGATAAATTACTTACCTCAGTTCCTATCACGATTTCTTCCCTTGTAGAGTAGAATAGAAACTCATATAGCTTGTAGTGTTGAAATAAGCTGAAATATAAAATAAATGTGCAACTCTGATACATTTATTTTAGGAAAGAAAGCAAACATGTAAGAGTATTTATGAAAGGGAAGTTGTTCATATTGAGTAAGACATTAAACACTAATATGGACTGATCTACCTGTTTTATTCCAAATGAATTGTCCAGAAGTGGTAAGAAACTAAAGATTTACTTTTTTGAGATGTTGACAATATAACACAGTACCTAATATAAGACCAATCAATTAATCTGTGATGAATGGACAGGTTTGGGATCAGGGAGCAATTAGATTGCATCTCGACTTTTCTTGGCTGGCAATAAAATAATGTACTGTCCCTAAATAACACCAAACTTCACATTATTTTTCACATTTTGCTTTAAACTGAAGTCCATTTCCTCTGGAATGAAAGAACTCAATTCTCTAATCTACATCTGTATCATTTACTTCTCACATTCTCAAACTGATTCAAGATTAAATTAATCTCTGATAACACCTGAAAATGATGCAGCATGTACTGAAATCCATTTAGAAGCTGTCTGATTTTCCTGTAGAATATTTGTTCACACGTCAAAGAGAGGAATTAATTTAAGAAAGGTAATTTCTTCAGTTCTTACCCTAAAGAGCAGGGGTAAGTGTATAAAAACCATGAAGAGCGAAAGGATACGAGTTTCTTAAAACAGGTATTTCAAGTAAGTTTAAAGATCTCAGCAATGCATTATTGAGAGTTAAAAATTTACTGAAGGTCTGATTTCTAATATCCTGTTTGTGATAATATTTGAATTTTTCTAATTCTTTTCCTGCTGGTTGGGAAAATTAATAGACTCATAATACAGCAAAATGCCCAAGAACAAAAAAATTGTCTTAGTGGTTTCTCTTTCACTCTGGTGCCTTTTGCTATTTAAGAAAATTGATTTTAATATAACTTAGAAATTAACATTTGCAAAATGTAGCTACAGAGCATGTATAATAATGGCTTCTCCTGAATGCTGTAATGGATCAAAGTTTCAATTCATTTGAAATCAATGAAGAAATCCTCAGGCAGCTGGGTCTCTCTGAGTTATATCAGCAGTTGATTTCACTACTAACACAATCCATTAAAAAGTGATGGGTATGCAGACTCAGTCATGGTGTTTTCTTTTTCTTTTTTTTTTTTTTTCTTGAGGAGGGGCGGGGGGACATCGTACATTCAAATTATTCAACACTCAGAAAACTAACTTAGCTTTTGACATTACTTTGATTTGTTGGCTAGAAAATACATCAAGATTAGTGAAGTTTGATGATTCAATGAAGCAAAATAAATTCAAATTCTCCTTCCCTTACATTGCTTACCTAGTCAAAGCTTTAAGGTTAAAAATATTACACTGGCAATAACTGATTTTGAGTAGAAAAATTAAAGACTATAGTGTATTTGGAAATAACTTGGCTTCCTCTCTGTGAACTTGTGTAAAATTTTCCTTCCATCTTCTGTTACACAAAGAAGTTAATTCATAAATCTTCCTTTCTGCAATTTTATAATCTTTCAGCTTTACTCTCCTCATTGCATATAGGAATTAGATTGTCTCATGCCAAAGGGGATTTCATTTCTTGCAATAAAAATAAAATGCATGACTCCAATGCAGTGGTCAAAGGAGCAAGTCGGGGCAAGACTTGGATCAGGGTAAAATAGATGAGAGGAGGGAGGTAGCTACCGAGGCACTTTGCAGGGGCAGCTCAAGTTGCCCCCATTGCTTTGCTCTGGTCCCCATCTTGGTTGGGGTCCTCTAACCTTACCAAGTAACTTCCTCTCAGAGCAAGGGGACACCTCTATTACAGGAATACATTTCCTCCCTCTTCCTTTAGAAAGAAGACTTGTAGCTAACTCAAGACCCTACACTATTTTGTCAAATATCTTGTCTTAGTTCTAAATCAAAGGGAGAATACTAGAAATAAAATGGGTCAGGACATCTGGGCTCCCTGCCAGGAAGTATACCCTGTTGTGCACAGAAGGGCAGTGTTGATTTTCTTATATTGAGTAAATGCCTATGCAAATTACCTTCACCTGATTCCCAAGAAATAGGTAGAAAACACAATGACAGAAGTGTAGTGGGACCAGATATATCTAAGTGATGTCTTATATTAAAAAGCTGCAGTAGCATTTATATTTATATCTGTATATATTATATAAATGTACAAGTATATATATTGCATGAGTACATTTTGTCAGTATTTCCTGTTACGTGAGTAATGTAACATACTAATTCTGGTATTCATTTTTTTTAAATCATAGACACATGATGGAATGTACAATTTAGATTCTATTAACAGTATCAAATAAAATTTCAATTTTATTGCCAGTTAAGTTTCATGTGCTATAGGTCATGTTCTAAAATCTACTCTCCCTAAATTGATGAGGACTTTCACTGGTTGAGTAAATTTAATATCAGATTAAATTGAAACATGCTTATACTTTCAATAATTGAATTAGCTTCATATTTATAAAACTTCTTTGTAGTTACTAAAATGAAAAATACTATATGATTTAATTACCATTAAATTTATATTTGTGGAACTATGAGGCATTCTAAATAGGTATTGTAGAAAAGCACATTTCTTCTTATACAACTTCAGTACCAATTCTAGATATCCTACTAACTGATATTTTATTTTCCGTAAAAGTTGCATTTAAAATGTGTAAGTTCCTTGGGCAGAAGACATGAACAAACACTTTTCCAAAGACACCCAGATGGCTAATAGATACATGAAAAGACGCTCAACATCACTCATTATCAGAGAAATACAAATCAAAACCACGATGAGATACCACCTCATACCTGTCAGAATGGCTAAAAGTAACAACACAAGGAACAACAGATGTTGGTGAGGATGCAGAGAAAGGGGAACCCTCTTGCACTGTTGGTGGAAATGCAAACTGGTAGAGCCACTCGGGGGAACAGTATGGAGGTTCCTCAAAAGAACTTTATTTTAAGAAATAAAATTTGAAGGGGTACACATACCCCAGTGTTTATAGCAGCTTTATCAACAAGAGCCAAACTTTCAAGAGAGACCAAATATCCATCGACTGATAAATAGATAAAGAAGATGTGGTATACATACATGTATGTATAGATACATACATACATACACACCTATGATGCAATATTACTCAGCCATCAAAAAAAGTGGAATCTTGCCATTTGCAGTGACATGGATGGACCAAAGTGTATTATGCTAAGTAAAATAAGCCAGTCAGAAAGAGACAAATACCATACAATTTCACTCATATGTGGAATTTAAGAAACAAAACAGACAAACATATGGGTAGGGGGGAAAAAAGAGAAGAGAGGAAAACAAACCATAAGAGACTCTTAAACACAGAGAACAAACTGAGGGTTGGATGGAGGGAAGTGGGTGGAAGATGAGCTAAACGGGTAATGGGCATTAATGAGAGCACTTGTTGGGAAGAGCACTGGGTGTTACATGTAAGTAACGAATCACTGGATTCTACTCCTCTAACCAATGTTACACTAAAATTTGAATAAAAAATTTAAAAATGTATAATTTCTTTTAAATCACAATATGAAGATTTAATAGTATCAAAAATAGTTCTGATTTACTTCACGTGACCAATCTCTCAAACATTATTTTGTTGTTGTTTTTAGAAATGAGAATAGAAATTTTTGGTAAGTAAAGTTATTCTGTATTTAATGGTGACTAACACTGACATCCTTTCCTAACTTAATTTTCTGAAATGAAATATCAAGTAACACACTGATGAGCATCCTTCCAGTTAGATGAGATGAAAGAGAAAAGAGGTGCAATCTTGCACCCATTTGGAAGATGTCATTAGGGCACATGCATTGGTTTTGCTGCTATGGTTAACTATCAGCCCTGGTGCCCATCATAAAATCCTGGGCTTAGAGCTCAGATGTAAAAATGTGTTCTACAAAGAGAAACCTGACAGTTTCAAATAGATAAGAAGAGAAAAAAAGGTTGCTATACATATGTGCAGGAAATTCCCCTCACCCAGAGATTCCCAAACACTGATGGACAAAAAGACCTTGGGGAGCAAGGTTGTCCAGTTCCTTCTTGCCTCCCACACAGGGACCTTACTTTACTCTAATTGATATGAAAAGTACTGCAGCTCTCAGGGAGAGACACACATTAGGAGGTATGTATTTTACATTAAGAAATCAAATTATATCAAATGCTATTATATAAAAACATATGATATCATATTCTATTATTAATTCATGCCAGAAACCAGCATATAAACCTTATCATATTAAACACATTAATATTTAAAAAGCTTCTAGACTACAGCCAGGACCTTGCCAAGCACATCATGAGCATGTCTAGGACATCATGCAGCACCCTTTATTTTGAATTTTAAATTGGAAAACACTGCAGTGTGTAGTATTGAAGGAAAAAAAGATATTCTGCAGAAGCTTTTAGTTAGGCAAAAGACAGGTTTTTTTTTTTTTTTTTTTTTTTTTTAACTCTCAAAATGTCCCTGGGGAGAGATGCATGACNAACTGAGGGTTGGATGGAGGGAAGTGGGTGGAAGATGAGCTAAACGGGTAATGGGCATTAATGAGAGCACTTGTTGGGAAGAGCACTGGGTGTTACATGTAAGTAACGAATCACTGGATTCTACTCCTCTAACCAATGTTACACTAAAATTTGAATAAAAAATTTAAAAATGTATAATTTCTTTTAAATCACAATATGAAGATTTAATAGTATCAAAAATAGTTCTGATTTACTTCACGTGACCAATCTCTCAAACATTATTTTGTTGTTGTTTTTAGAAATGAGAATAGAAATTTTTGGTAAGTAAAGTTATTCTGTATTTAATGGTGACTAACACTGACATCCTTTCCTAACTTAATTTTCTGAAATGAAATATCAAGTAACACACTGATGAGCATCCTTCCAGTTAGATGAGATGAAAGAGAAAAGAGGTGCAATCTTGCACCCATTTGGAAGATGTCATTAGGGCACATGCATTGGTTTTGCTGCTATGGTTAACTATCAGCCCTGGTGCCCATCATAAAATCCTGGGCTTAGAGCTCAGATGTAAAAATGTGTTCTACAAAGAGAAACCTGACAGTTTCAAATAGATAAGAAGAGAAAAAAAGGTTGCTATACATATGTGCAGGAAATTCCCCTCACCCAGAGATTCCCAAACACTGATGGACAAAAAGACCTTGGGGAGCAAGGTTGTCCAGTTCCTTCTTGCCTCCCACACAGGGACCTTACTTTACTCTAATTGATATGAAAAGTACTGCAGCTCTCAGGGAGAGACACACATTAGGAGGTATGTATTTTACATTAAGAAATCAAATTATATCAAATGCTATTATATAAAAACATATGATATCATATTCTATTATTAATTCATGCCAGAAACCAGCATATAAACCTTATCATATTAAACACATTAATATTTAAAAAGCTTCTAGACTACAGCCAGGACCTTGCCAAGCACATCATGAGCATGTCTAGGACATCATGCAGCACCCTTTATTTTGAATTTTAAATTGGAAAACACTGCAGTGTGTAGTATTGAAGGAAAAAAAGATATTCTGCAGAAGCTTTTAGTTAGGCAAAAGACTTTTTTTTTTTTTTTTTTTTTTTTTTTTTTTTACCAACTCTTGTTTAAATATTTGCAAACTCTCAAAATGTCCCTGGGGAGAGATGCATGACTCTAATGCAGACCTTGTGACAGATTATGTAAAAAGGCCAATTTCTTAGTTCACCAATGAAGAATCACTATAATAAAAATATTTCCACTCCATTCACCATCATTTTCTAAGCACAGAGAAAAACTTAATGAGTTTAATTGGTTAATACTACAAAGTATTTCAGGGCACATAATAAATTTGAGGAAGCATGTATATATGTCTCTTTAGTTTCTAATACAAAGAATTTCAAGTAAATGTTTAAATGGAAATGAATGCTGCTCTAAAATGTAAAATTTTGATGTCAAGGCCAACTACCTAAAATATAAAGTCCATTGTAATCAAGTCTGATTAATCTGAAAGGATCATTTTATTAATAAAATGATATTATTAGGGATTAAGAGAAAAAATAAATTTTTGTATAATTTATTATAATTTTACATGAAGTTATACTTATCAAACACAAACCTTTTTTTTTTTTTAAGAATGCAAGGTTAGCCAAAAATTTAATGTCCTGAATTTCATTTATTAAAGATTTTAATATTATCTCATTATTGGCTGGGTTTATTACAGCATATATTCTGTGAATGTCTAAAAATTGAATTAGTTTCTATTTAATAGACATTTTATAAAATATAATGAAATGAAAAATAAGTGCTACTGAAAAAGAATCCATACCTGATTTTTAAGTAATCGATGATCGCATTGGCTTGCTTTATATTAAAGATACTCAATTCTTCATTTTTCTGTGAATGGGATGGTCCTATTTCAGCCATAACTTCTCCAAGCCATTTTATGCTGTCTTCTAAGGACATATGCAGTGCTGAAATAAAACCCAGAGAAGTCTTAAGCATTATCTTGATAGATGTTTTGGGAACAAAATAGTTCAAGATGTCCTTAACGTCCAAATATTTACTTTTTCAATATTTATAAGGACAATGCTAATAGCAATGTTGTTTTTAATGATAAGTTAATAATTACATTTTTGTAGAAGAATAGCAGCTGACACATCCAACAATAATAAATTACTGTCACGCTACACAACTGTCTGAAGATTTTGTTTCCATTTAGAATGCAAAAATGATTTAAAATATACCTAAAGATTACTTTAAAATGGAAAATATACTTTTTAGATGATCTTAAAATAAAAGCATATATGGAAATGACACAATGGTTGTTTGAATTAGCTGCTAAGGAAGACCTACATGGTAGATTCAGTTACTGTAGACAGGAGAGCTGAACTCAGGGCTGAAAATGTAAATTAACAGAGTCAACCAACACTTGGCTTTGGCTAATTGTTACCATGTGGGAATTTGGGACTGAAGATTTTCAATAGATGCCAGAAATATGTATTTTTATGTAAAACATCCAGATATTTTTTTTCTTTTCCAAGATACAGACTTATAACTTATGTAAGCTGTTTCTCAAATGTATGCCTGGTGGTGGTGATGAGAGCCAGATGACAGCACAGAGCGATGCTGACACCACTTTGCCACCATTACCAAAAGTAAACAAGTCAATGATGTGGTCTCTTCTCCTACAACTAAAAACAAACAAAAAAGCAAAAGTATCTTCTATGACATGTGTCAAGTTGAAAAAGAAGTAGATAAATGTCAAAAGCCTTAGACTCAACATTTATAGTGTCTATAATACAAATATGAACTTCCGTCTTTTTTTCCTGTTTAATTATGCTCATTTTTACTTGTGGCAAGCAAAATAGTATTCCATCACACACACACACACACACACACACACACACACACTGACAAGTGATGAGTGTATGGACATAAGACAGAAGAGCCTGGAGGTGGAGAGTTGAAAATCTCTGGCAAAGACAAGGTTGGAGCAACTGCTTGGGTTGGGGGAAATGTCAGCTGGGAGCCTGGATGAAGGTTCTGGGGAATAGTGTGCTGCTCAATGTGAGCCCCACCCTCCCACTCCCAACCTCTATCTCTCTTAGGAAACCATCAGTAAACATTCTACTTCTTGCTAATGGAGTACATTTTTCAGGGAGGTCTAAGCAGGTAATGCAGAGGATTTATGAGAACATAAGCTGATTGCTGGACCCAGCCATTTCTGGTTACACAGCTACTCTTTCCCTCTGGGATATAAGTGTTATGCCCTCAAATTACTGATCAAATAACAATAACATAATTAAAAATCTTAGGAAGACATGTCAAACACTAACTTGCAATTTATTTAGTCTAGATTCTTTTCTACCTGTGGGAATTAGAATGAAGCAAAAAACAGTATAACAATTAAAATCTCGTTTGATGAATGGCAATTGGTCCATTTCTCATAGCCTCCCTCCAGATTGTCTTTTATATATGTCATACACACAGGTTATTGCTGGATAACTGGGGTTTCCATATCATTCTAAGGGAAGCTCAGTTATTATTGTGCATTTCTTTTCCTATGATAAATTTGTAACTGTTTTAGGATAACTTAAAAAATGAAAAAATCTGTTGGATAAAAGCAATTCAAAAATCAATGGATTAAAAATCTGAATCATTTTATTACTAAAATGGTATTAAGTAGAGATGTGGGAGAAAAAAGAAATTCTTAGATAATTGATTACAATTCTAGATGTAATTACATTTATCAAGCACGAAAATACATTTATATGAATATTTTCATATATTGAAATATAATTGACACTTTGAAACTGTTTTTCTATGTCTAATGTCTTTCTATAGATAATGGCTTTAAAAATTAGGAAAGTTATCACTTCACTTATCTAACGGAAATATTTGCTCATTTAGAAATCACATTCAGTGATGTGATTAAAATATGAAAGATTAAACCATTTAAATAGTAAGGGCTATTAGGAATAAAATTTATCTTTGAAAATTTAGGGTAATGAAAGAACATGCTAGACATAATTAGTTGGAAGACTTAACATGGTACCTTATAACTGCCACTTATCTACTAGCTAGGTGATCTAAGTTTCATTTCTTAAATCTATAAATGAACATAAGACTAATTTTCAAAATGATAGTGCTGTTGTGAGGATCAAATAAGACATGGATGTTAAACTCTTGGTAAACTGAAATATGTATACTACTACATTACATGTATATAGAGCTTTCTAGAATCAGCTCAAAGTTGGCACTTTTGATATAGTAGTAGGGAGGATGAGTTCTCACTCACTGGGGTTGATGCTTGTGACCTTAAGGAGTTATTTAATCTTTTTAAATCTCACTTATTTTTCTCATTTTTAAAATGGGGAGAATAATATAACTATTTCAAGGCTGTGTGTGAATTAAACAAGACAATATTTGGAAAGCAAATGCACTGACTGGCACAAGTTAATCCTACACAAATGTTACCTATTATTATCATTCCTATTTAGGGGGAAATAATTCAACTTCATGGAACAAAAAAGTATTCTATGGTTATTTACTAATGTTCATGTTATATACAGAGGAATCCAGCTAGACCCATCAACCTGAACAGAGGTCAAATATCCAGTCTAATACTTGACAGCTTGTATTTGGTCAGACCCTGAAAAAACAATCCCAAAATGCATATTGTTAAGACAAGTGTACAAATCCTATGTTGCGTAATCTTTTAGTTTTGATCCAATGTGATTCCAGGTGAGTTGTCTACAGAATGCCTTGTGGACAATGCAGCACAAGTTTGAGACAAGGAACAGATCAGAAACTGAGTCAGTAGAAAATGCAGTTCCCACACTAGGATTTTATTAATGGTCAACCAAGGTGCAGCTAATAACCCAGACTGTTCAACAGTGTTTTGTTTTGTTTTGTTTTCTGTTAAGATGTTTTTGAATGTGAATGTTCACTATGTGCTCAGGAATCTACCACCTTTTAGTCTAAGTATAAACAGACTAGCTCCTTCTCTGGCACACTTGGCTACGATTATATTCTTTCATGATAATAACTATAACCTTGTTAGGTTTAAAAGTTTGAGGGTATTTTTTTTCCTGACCAAAGGGAAAACTAGATCCCTTGCTTGTTACTGGTTAGGGTTTACATATGCACTTTCACTCTCTCCTGGGTTATGAGTAGCTGGATGGATCCTGCTCAAGTTTTTAAAATTAATTTTTGAACTGATATCAACAATATAACATTTCACATAAAAGAAATATTTCTGAGTCAGTTGTAAGTTATGGAAAATTTTTTAAATGGAAATAATCTTGTCAAATTTGGAATGTGAAGATTCATGAAAATGTTTTACTTTTCTTTATTCTGTTTCTAGTTTGTGAACATTCAGCTAAGAGGTTGCAAATCATAGGACTGTTAACATCGTATATTCTTTTTTTTTTCCTTTACCATAAGTCTGTCTGACTTATTTCAGTTTTTGCATAGGTGATATATTCACATGGCTCAAAAACATTAGTGAAGTTATATTATGAAAAACTTTCCTCAATCTTTGTTGCCCACACACTCACTTCCCACACCCTTTCCTACAGAAAAATTCTCCCCAGTGCTACTGAGAAACACTTGACATATATCACTGTGTAAGTTTAGGGCACACAGCAAGATGGTTTGATTTATTGTGAAGTGATTACGGCGATAGGTTTCTTCTCATATAGATAAAACAGAAAGAAAAAAGGATAAAGGAAAAACATTTTTTTCTTGTTATGAGAACTCTCAGGGTTTACTCTCTTAACAACTTTCCTATATATCACACCTGTTAACTGCCATCATCATGTTGTTCATTACATACCTAGTACTTATTTATCTTGTATGCAGAAGTCTGTAGCTTGACCATCTTCCACATTCTGGTAACCACAATTTCCATGGGTTTGGTGTTTTGTTTCTTTGTTTTTGTTTTAAATTCCACATGTAAATGCAATTGTACAGTATTAGTCTTTCTGTGTCTGATTTATTTCATTTAGCATAATGCCTTCATGTTTTGTCCATATTGTAACAAATGGTGGGATTTCTTTGTTTTTTAGGGCTGAATAACAACGTTCATTGTTATGTATATATACTACAACCTCTTTATCCATTCATCCATCGATGGACACTTAAGTTGTTTCCAGATCTTGGCTATTTTAAATAATACTGTTATAAACATGCGGGTGCAGATATCTTCTTGAGTTAATGGTTTTGTTTCACTTGGATATATTCCCTGAAGTGGGATTGCTAGATCATATGGGTGTTCTATTTTAAATGTTTTGAGGAAACGTCAGACTGTTGATTATTTATATAAATCATTAATTTGTATGTAGATTTGTGGATGTTAATTTTGTACTTTGGGTTATAATTCAATACTATAATTCAATTCAATAATTAAATATTATAATTCAATACTGTTCAATTCAGTACAATACTATCATGTTATTTTGCTCAAATTGTTCCAACTTTGGACACTGGAAGCTTTTCAGTTGGCTTCTCTATACCATTGACATACCACCATCATTTTGATTTTTGAGCACTTAGTCTTGGCCACTACAATATGCCCTGGGCTCATTTTCATGTTCCCTGCTCCAGGTCTACAGTCAGCCATTTCTCTAAGGTGCTCTGGCTCCTTTTCTTCGAGAATTAAATTATAAACCAAGACTTGGTTCCTGGGTATGCTCATTACTACTAGGAGGCCATTGCTTCTAGGCCCTCTCTGTGGACAGAGCTAAGAAAAATATGTGTGTACACTTAACTATACAACTATATCTGTATCTAAGTTAAACAGGTTTGTGCTGATTTATCTCCAGGTGATATTTTCTCATTTTTTGCTTTTACAAACGTGACTGCAACTAATAACTTTACCTACATGTATGTTAAATGAATATGTGGGGATAAATTCACAAAAGTGGAATTGCTAGATCAAAGGGGACAATATTTGTGAATTTGATAGATA